CAGCTCGACGCCCTCCTGCGTGGGCTGGTTGCGCCGGTTGAAGCGCCAGTAGCGCTGGCGTTGGTCGGCGCTCCACGCCTCGCGCATGCGCGCCCCCCGGCCACTCCACTCAGCTGCGGACAATGCGGCCTCCACTTGCACTCCTCGCTCTGCCACCTTTCGTTTGTTCGTTGGTTGTGATTCCGGGCGCGTCAACTACCTTGGTCATTAATCCCGTAAATGTAGTGCATGCATTTTCCTCGGAAGGTGGCGGTGACTCCCCCCACTGGATGGCGAGACCCGGCGCCGACCTACAGTCAGTGAGCGGGGTTTTCCCCTACTAGGCATCTCCTACCAGCGTGACACCGCCCCAGACGCGACTCCCGACCGGTCTCCCGGCATGTGTGGTCCATGTTAGTGTGTGTGCGTAAGTAAGGGGCGAGCATAGAACAAGGAGGAAGAAGGAAAGATCGCGCGCAGTCCGTGGCCCGTTTTTATTGTACTGCTCGGGCACTCTCCTGATGTTTATCGGAGAAACCATGGAAAACTACTGAGAAGCCGGCCGCTAGAATTCTCCTCTACTCAGCGACTGAATTCTTCCTAACTTGACAATCTAGTGTCGAAAATCTGCCCATTGTCTTGACTTGAACCTAGGACCCCCCGGTCACAGGCACTGCAGTGTCATCAGTTGATGCACTGAGTCACCTCTTCCGGTTTCATCATTCCTATACGACATTATTTTAAATAAGTAATTCCCGTTTAAAACTGAGATGAAGTTCTTAATGTTCCAAATATTGACTTCTACGAAGATCTGTGATTTTAGACAGCTGGGGCAGACACCGTCCAATTCAGCCCTTTTTAAAACAGGTGTGCGCGATGTAGAAAGATGCTGCAGAACACAGCCTAATGAATCAAAACTTTTTTGTACAGTCTTTTGTTTAATTTTCAAAACTATTATTCCTTTAAAAATACCTAATCGCGTGACTTTATAGCGAACTTTGCGCGGGGCCCTACGCAGATTTCAACTCGTCGCACACAAAAGAGCGATTCAAATTGTCTTCTAAGACATTTCACGAAAATTAATAGCTGTTAATTAATTAGTTTTATTTCCAAGACTTTTTATTGAGATGTTCTGTGTCAACAACGGTCGCCCTGCAGCATCTCTGACCCGGAGACCCTAGGGTTCGAGTTCCGATGATGGCGGCGAATTATCGACACTGGGTTGAATTCAGTCGCTGTCCAGAGAATTATAATGGCCAGTTTTTCTGATTGGTAGTTTTCTGAGGTTCGAGCGATCAACACCAGGTCAATATCGGAGCCAAGTCCTATAAAATGGGCTACGGATGGCGCTGGCCCTTCCTAATTCTTGCTCACTCCTCACACCTTTTCACTCACACACACACATACCCTCTTACTTGCTCAATACTATACATATCAGGAGATTAGTCCGTAGGTTGGAACTTGTGGCATCTGGGGCAGAGCCCCGCTGGGGGAGGTGTCTAGAGGAGTTTAACTTGCAAACCGACTGAGGTCGGCTCCAGAACACACGTTCTAGCGGAAGGGAACTCTGCCATCTCCCGGATACAACATGAACTACACTCACGGGGCTAACGACCAATGTAATTTACGCGCTTGGTAACATGAAACACTCCCTCAAAGAAAAAATGTATTTTCTCGTATTTTAATGCCTATCTCAATATAGTCGGCTGGGATAGAGAGTCATACGACCTCTGTGTTTCTCTGAGCGCACGAAATGTTAAGCGAAAAGATCATAAACGGAAGAACGAAGTCATTTTTAAGTGACAAAGGGTTGCAACAAATGCTGCAATAGGTTGACCCGGAAACATCATTCCGTGTTTCCAGATCTTTCTCTGGCATATGATCTCAACCTCTGCATTTTTACTCAGTTATCAAACATACTTGACAAGAAAGGGAGCTACAATCATTGGCGGATCCAGGAGGACAAGCACCCCCTCCCAAAAGTCTAGAGTTTTCGTTTCTTACTTCTTTATTTGGCAAAATTGATTTAAATATTTATGTTCGAATTATATACATATTTAAAAAATAATATTGTATATTATCACAAGTACACTACAAAAGTAATATACAATTTAATAACAAGTATGTTTAGTATATTTAACAATAATCGATGATCCCCTCCCCCATGATGGGCTAGATCCGCCCTTGGCCCATGGCAATGCACGAGAGATTCAGGCGCTCCATTGCGCTGCCTCGCGGGCAAGCTGCGAGCCTCGATGCTGGTGGGGGGCGGGGGGCGGAAGCTGCGCGGGCGGCGCAGGCGATCGATTACAGCCTCTGCCCCCCAAAGATTGGCCTTCCGCTTTTCCACCGAAGGAGGCTGCGACTATTAATCATCATTAACCTATGTTTTCTTTTATTTTAAATCAACAATCAGGTTTTTCAGGAGGTCATTGTGGTATATTTGACTACCGCATGCGTGGCAGGTTGCTAAAATATTGTTACACACAAAAATTTCGTTTTAAAGATGAATTTACAAGAAAATTCACAATTTGAATATTTTTTACACAACACAATTCTGCCAAACATATTTTGTTCTTCTCAAAGTTCTTTCCTCCTCCAGAATAATAAAAATGAAGCACATGAGCATATTTCACAGGAAAATATAATTTCGACCTAAAAATATACATACAATTATTAGTAGTTCTGCAATTAGGGCATCTGTCTTCCCTGACGACATGACTGGTCTCAGGGATGACTTATTATGATGATATCACATATTTAATTCGATATCACATAAATCATGAAATATCAAGACAAATTTAATTAATAAACCCAAACACTTTAGTTATGAAATGCAGTCGTTTTATTTAAATTATGCTTGCACGTAATTCAAGACACGATTAACAAAATCGATACCCGACCGCGACAGGACTCGAACCTGCAATCTTCGGATCCGAAGTCCGACGCCTTATCCGTTAGGCCACGCGGTCTGCGGATGCAATACCTCCCACGCAGAAACACCTCGACAATAATCCTCCGTCAAAAGAGCAAACATAGTTAACAAAATTCATTATCTATATCTCGTTTTACTGATATCTGAAAACCGCATTCAAACCTGGACAATTGAATTAGTTTCAAATACAAACACGACATAATTTACAAGTATGACTACTAGAGCTTCTCGCATTACGCATTTCGAATACGGGAAACGTCAATACTTTAATATGTAACATAGTGCTACCCCGACGCCAGCCGCAAAAATCAATGAGTCTCTTTTAAAATATATGTTGAAAAATAGATATCCTCCCGCAACACATCAAACGCATAGCGAATGAAATTCCGAGGGGCGACACAACCCCTCCTCTCGTGCATTTGACGTGAGGGGCGGGCCCGACGGCGCCCGGGGTCTCGTCTTACCTTGCACAGCCTTCGTCTCCATGCCGGGGCCGCGCTCCTCGATCACGAGGTGCAGGTTGTCTTCCGACGAGACGCGCGCGCGCTTCCTGGCGGCGTGCGCACGCAATAGCAGACAATGCACACTTGACACGCACGAAACCACACACACACAAGGAAACTGTGCCGTGCCAGTGCAATTGGATAACGATCGTTGCGGAAAAATAAAATTGAATGGGTTTAAAAGTTACATCGCAAATGCTTTCGAAATCAAATTAAAGATGATTAAACAAACTGAAAATCAGTGCATTAAATTATAAAAATAAAAAATTAAATGATTTAATTAAGTGGTATTCTTTTTCAATACTAGAATTTACAATTCAAATATATAATATATTTCGCGTAACATTACATGTCATGAAGTCGAATCGTTCATGAAGTGCACTTTGATACGGAACTTGCTTTAGTATTGTCAGTTATTCCTGCACTGTGTCGTACTTCTGCAAGTGTCGAAAATACGTGGGCTCGTTCGTTTTCTTTGTGTACGAAACAAAGCGATGAGTGATCACTTCTGTTACGATCGACCGCATCATACGAGATAACACAAGACGCGGAGTTTCCTAACAACACACATAGCCCATCCGTGAAGTAATGTTTCAGTACAAATTTACTCAGGAAACATATTGCACCCTATTCAATAAAACGCGTCTCCAACAGTCCTTTTTTTTCCTAAGCAGGTTTATTATTTCAGGAATAAACAATCTAATAGCGTCTTCTGTCCTTCATGATTTGTTGCATTAAAACTTACTTTATTAGCTCATTTTATCAGTTAATTTTTGTCGTATGTTTTCATCGGATGACGATATCTTTCTTAATTTTCATTTAGATTAAAATATCTAAAAATTTAAAGTATTTCATTATTAAATTTCACTCTCTTTATAGTTACGCATCCAAAAATTAACCTAGGATTCTGTTTTCAAGAATACGCTCTTTCATTACGTAAAGTCGAATGAATGTTAGAGACGTTCCGCACAACCGACAGGCAGCCACTTATAACAAGACGTATCTCTCTCAAAAGCAAACAATGAAACTGTAAGAAACACATATCCATCAGCCCTAAAGTTTAATACACTCTGCGAAAACAAATTTGTGGCCTTCAATTGATGTTTCAGTTTCATCAATTTCCTATTTCCCTTTTAATTCACTGCAAACAAATGTAGGTAAGCAATGAAGAGTAGTTTCACTATCACTTCATTTCACACGAGATGTCTTTAGGTTGAACATGATTTTGTGCTACTTCTCCGAAAATCATACTTAAGTATTTTACATTCCTTCGTTTCTAAGAAATTTGAAGCCTAGAACCCGAACGCCCGAACACTCTTAACGCCGTGTTCATGATTTGTGTAGTCCTAAATATTTACAAGAACCTACATCGGCGTACCATTGTACAAAGGCACCTGCCGTAAAAAAAATATGAGACAGAAAATAGAAGTACTTACATGTACTGTAAGATAATCTCCCAACATTATTCGGAAATCAATGTATTTATTTCTTAAGATATCCTGATATATTATTAAATGTATGGTTGTTTATCACTATCAATTAACGCATGTTTAACATCTACGACTGAACAATGATGTTGAAGGTTGAATGACGACGATTTCGTACTATAACGGAAGTTTACTTTATTTTTAATAGATATGAAAAAATATTTATTTATCACCAAATGTAGAAATTAAAAAAGAAACATTTTACAACAAAAAGGTTTTCTACAATTTTTTTAATGTATCAATCTAAAGGAAACTTAAAAAACGTGGAAATTTTATTAGTGTTGAAAATACATGCAAAAGCAAATAAAAATCAAAAAAACAGTTTTAAACAGCAAAAACGATTTTATTTTAATGAAAATACAACAATTGCATACCTGAAAATTCTTATAAAAATGTATATAATACAAGAGAAGATTATTAAAATAGAAGACCCTCAGTAAAATCATGATAATCATGGAGACATTAATTTACATAGAGCAACAAAATTTGATTTGAAATTGAAGATCAAGTTAAAAGCCACGAAACTTTTTCAAAGAAGGAAGACCAAGGTATGTTAAAGAACAAATTAGAGAAATATTAGAAGAGGGAAGTGAAGAAGAAAGAAAGAAAACATAAACAAAGAAGTACAATTGATAAAAGAAAGAACGGATACATTGTAACATTACAAAAGATTGGTCACGGTTAAGAAGAATTTGAGCATTTTAACTGACCCCAAAGGAAAAGACATGGTATGTATTCTTTATCAAATCTAACAAAAGGAATAATTGATGTTAATACTGCAGCCAATCACTCTCAATTCTGTGTTCTGCTTCAGAAGGAATTGTAAACAAACTGCTTTTGCACATACTTCCCTTACAATCTTAATTTAATTAGTAACCTCGTCAAGTAAATTATTTTTCCCAACTAATAAAATTCTAATTCGAGAATAAGTATCTTGTTTGCGTCGTGCAGCATTAACGATAAATGTCTTTTCCTGACGGGGTCTTGAATCACAGTGGGATTACTCACCTGGGACTTACATACAGTGGACACCCTGCGCACAAGCAGCACAGAATGAGAACGATGATTGCGATGACAATGATGATAGCCAAGACGATCAGGATCCAGAACACGATTAGACTGTCTGCGCGTTGGTATGTCTCCGTTTTCTGTGGGCAGAAGTATGTATTAAATGACCATGTATAGTAATAGAAATAAATTGTTCTAGTTCACTTGATGTGAAATGCTCTCCAATCTGAATAGGGTGGCCTGGGTTCGTGTCTACACATATAAGCCGTGTTTTTTTGATAATGTAGAAATCAGGAAAGACTATCTGGAAAATAACGAAGGGGATCTTTCTCATATGATTTTTTTCTTTTAATTACTATTAATTTATATCTTCGGCCTGAAACTGAACGTTTTATAACCGAATTAAGCTGTTAATTGTGAAGATTGACTGAAAATCTATAGTTTTTATTGCATTAAAGAAGTCTCATATATGGCCTCATTAAAAAAGCTTACATATATGATATTTTTCCCACACTGGCTTGTAGAAAACGTTTGAGTGTCTTTCTCGTAGAGATTGTTCTATCATTTTCTTTTTAATACACCGGCAAAAATGCTTCATAAAAACTTTTTTTAAAAAACTAACCAAATGCAAATATTCACACCTCGCATGATTTTCATCAAAAATGAATGAATGAATGGGAATGTGGATACAAATTGGATTAATACAATTTTCACTTTCATTTATTGATAGAGCACTTCCATCTTTCAAGGGCAATTGCATTTGTTTTGAAGGAAAATGGTGGAATATATGATCAAATAAATTTGACTCATTTCACCCTCCCCATTTGTGTGACCCAATTTGTGTATGTGCGTGTGTGTTATAAATACAATACTAGTGCAGAAACATAAAGTGTCTGTGAATGTCTGACGTATGTTCACGAAGTGTAAATTCTTTGCTTTTGTGCATATCAGTGCTAAACGTTATCGGTTCATTCACAGGCAGGAAATTTCTTACTCAAATCGCTAATAGCACACGCCACGCATTCCCATTGGACAATGTATGATGTTCGCAAAATACGCAAGAAATTTGGTGAATATGAAACCTTATTTGGGCAAACATCCTCTGGGTTCAATACAAATACGTTTTTCATTCACGAATCAAACTATCAAAGAAGTGGATCTAGTTCAATACGTGAATTTGTTCAGTGAGAAATATTCTTACCTTAACGCCGCCAGCATTAATTAATGTACCATTAACTGCTTGTAGATCACTTAAATCCACAACACCTTTGTCGACGTAATATACTTCGGCTTCCACCATAGTCCTGTGAACAATTATATTTAATCGCTACATTAAAGGGTAGTGTATTGAATTGAATTGAATTGAATTTGCCTTATTTTACGTGGCGAGATTCGGGCCATCAGGCCCGCTCTTCCGTCTGACCACGCAAATTTCGCTACGCTCCTTTCACCAACTAGGAGACAAAGGAGGTATTTCTTGGGCGAGAAACAGGCGATTTGAATTTAGCTCAGAGGCGTCATTTAGGCTTGAGGATCTTTTACATGCAAGTAAATCTACGAACATGGGACAGCCGGCTCTACTTCCCCTCCGAAGGAAGGCGTACGAAGGATTTTTTCGCCCTTAAAAATCCACGGCTTCGATCGGGTTTGAACCCGCCAACTTGGGTACAACAGTCCAGTGTAAGTTTTTGAAATATATTAAATTAGTGATTACTACGGGCGCGCTTTGAAGTCATGTTGATGAGAAATATACTGTCAATTACACGTATACGTACAGGTATTTTATGATGACATCGCTGTTGTTTATGGATTCTGCAAATCTACTTTATCATTATATAATATCAACTACAACATTAATAATAACAACAATGATATTATTATTATTATTATTATTATTATTATTATTATTATTAGTTACTTGTAATCTTCATACTTCCCTATTATGTACCACGTCACTTGACACCCCTTATTTATACACATTTTTTGCTAACTTAACTAAAATTGGGACAATAAAAAGCTAATTGAGTGAATGAATTTACTAAATTTATTAAACGAATCCCGGAATCAATTAAACCTGGAGTAAATTCAAGTAGAATTTTGTGTGATTTAGATCACGGCCTGATATCCAACCAATACCAATCGACAATAAAAATCAGCGTGTGTCGCGTCATCTGTATCGAAATATCGTGTGGAGTGACGTATCTCGTGTACTCACTTCTCGGAGGAGGCGGCTGCGTCGGGCGAGGCGGGGGCGGAGGCGAGGCTGCGAGCGGGCGGGTGGGCGGGGGGCGGGGGCGGGCGGGGGCGCCGGGGCGCGCTGCTCTTGCAGCTGCTCGGCAGGTCTGCGGCCGGCCGCGGCGGTCGGGCGCAGCGCGGGCGACGAACGGCGACGCGCCGCCCCCGGACGCCAGGCGCACCGCCGCCGACGCCTCCACCGCCGTCTTCCCGTCCTTGTAGGGCGACACGCTCAGCACCTTGACGCGCGCGCCCGTCACCTTGCCCAGCAGCGCCTCCGTCTCCTTCAGGTCCTTCTGCGGGCCCGCCATGATGAAGAACATGGTGCGCGGCGGGCTCACCGCCGGGTGCACGTTCACCAGCGTGAACGTCTGCCGGCTGGGGATGCCTGCGCAGCGGACCGCTCGCTCAGTCGGAGGCCCAGCCCCACGACTTTTGCAACACATATGATGGCGTCAAATCCGCCGTAAGCCTACTCTCTAAATAAATAAAGGACTTCCAGACGGACAAAGGACAAAGGACAAAGACGGAGAAGACTTCCATTATTTTTTCATGCCATTACGCCAACAACACCATATGAGAATTCCAACAACTGCGCTCTGGCTCAGCGCTTGTCTGCGAGAAATCGGTTGTGGGGATACATCTATATCGATGTTTCAAACTATCATGTTTTTATAAAATCATCGACGTATTTAACATCGAATTTTTGAAGCTAAAGTTCTCTGAACATTGATGTTATGTGTTCGATGTTTTTACGTGACTGATATTTTTAAATGAAAAAAGAACCATTAATATAAAATTTTATTATTATTTTTAGATTGCCATGAAATAAATAGTTTTGAACAAAAATGGCCAAGCGTGAAAAGTAAATAAAATCGTCCATAAAAAGCCCCTCATTTTTTAACTATCAAATCAGATAATTAAAACATCTTAATGACCTTGAGATATTAACTTTATTTTCTCATTTAAATCTCAGCTAAAATTTACTAATAAATAAGCTTAAAATTTACTTTCAAATTAAGACCCCGCACGTGAACTTCAATGGTTACTAACCCCGTTTTTAAACATCGGTTTTCATAACATCGATAGTTTTGAGTCGATGTTTTATTAATATTGATGTTTCATTTTGAGCATCGATGATTAGAGCCATCATTGTTTTGTTGTGAATGTCGCACGCTTAACCGGTTGAGTCAGCTGCTGCTGTTGAGTCAGTCCCAGGATGAGGGGGCAGGAGCTCGGGTCGATCGGCTTTTGTCTAGTTGAGCTCCATGATGCAGCCACAAAGAACCACCGCAGGCACTTTGGAACGAATTGTTGCGTTTAAGTAATCCTGCACTAGAGAATACATCCAGCATTGGGAGTACCTGAGTACCAGGAGAGGTTGCTATCCACTGTAAGAGGGTTTAGCAAGAAAATGTTTAGTAAATGAGCCAAAAGGAAAGAAAATATCACTAATTGCCTTACTTTCCTACTAATAATTTCCTGAATTCAAGACAATATTACCGATGTGTATTCTTGCTCCTAACACTGAGAAAGTGATGAAAATACAATCATTATCCAGACCAAATTGGAGAAAGTCTTTTTTTTAGCTAATGTTTGAATAAGACAATCGATCTACAAGAACATTGTCATGTGTTATTGCGGAACGAAAGACACAATGGTTTTAGGTTACATGCACTATCTGGATTGTTTTGAATTAGAATTGTTTACAAACTCAACAAATACACAATATACATAACCTATGAGTTCCCAAATAGGATTACATAGAGCGACCGTGTGGCCTAACGGATAAGGCGTCGGACTTCGGATCCGAAGATTGCAGGTTCGAATCCTGTCAACGGTCGACAGATTTTCTGTTAAGAGGAGACATTGAAGTTCAATGGAAGTGATAACTCGTATCTTTCTGTTACAAATAGTGTACACTGGGTAGTTTGTAAGATGAGGCAGGTAACAAAACGCTCTCAATGCATTGTGATGACTACCATTGTAAGATTCATGACAATGATGTAAACTTGGTCACTGGTAGTGCACAGGATTTGGTCGGAGTGAGTAGAAACTATTAAACCATCAGTTTGCCGATGTTTCAAAATAGTTTTACTCCATCAGGGCTTAGTAAATAATTATGGAAAATTACAATCTTTCAGCAGCATCAAGGTTCCATGCAGGTTGCAACCCATCTCCACATGGAATAAACGTATTCCGAAACGTCTGCAAACTAGTAGTTAAATTGTTTCTACTCACTACGACCAAACCTTGTGAACTACATTCAGCATTGTGATAGAGCTAATAATACTCTATTGTTAAATATTTGTGAATCAATTAATTTAAAACATTGGCATGTGTTTATAATTTTTTTTATTTCAGGATTACACATTCTCATGAGAACTGCTTAATGGATTTTTTTACACGATGCAGATTTTCATGCAGATCTGTTTACTTAGGACGGCAATCGTCCGACCAATTCAATTTTGTGGTTAGGTTGAGCCCGATTTGTGATACTTTACGTTTCGGATTCGAGTTCTCAACTATTTCGATGGGTCTATTTAACTTACAAGTGCAACTTTGAGGTTATTTAATTTCATTTCTGCAGACCAGACTTAACATACACAAATGCAGTAAATGAATGTACTCTGAGAATTAGAATATACTGCATATAGTGACTGCATCGCCTCCATCATTGCAGCAAATTGAAGCCGTTTTTTGCAGTCAAAGCAGCGCCGTCTACAGAAACAGAATATTCCGTCTGGCACTGGTTACGACCAGGTGGGCGCGGGCCCCGCGTAATATAAATCATCTTCCTCGGTGTTTTACGACCAAAAACCAAACCAAACATTTAAAAACGAAATCTCAATATGCAAGGAAGACGAATTGAGAAACTTAAAAAACACGTTGCTTCCTGCGTCTGCTATTGTCTTAAGAATGGAAGCTGTTGAAATGTTATGATTAGCATAATGCCTGAAAGTGAATATTATTGTAATAAGAAACAATCAAACATCACAAATAAGGCAAAAAACTCGAAAAATTATATATTAGTGGTTCGATGACTTCTATTTTTACAGTTATATCCGAACATACTGAAGGCTTTGTGAATATTATTATTCTAACCACTAGTATAATTTAAATGCTGATAAAATAAAAGACAACAATACAGATATAAGATATAATACTAACAACACATTGAATTAGTACAACAGTTCTAGACGCCACCAACCATCAGGCACATCTTATTTTTTTTACTGTAGAAAACATGGCGGCCTCTAGTTCGGCAACCGTCAACCAAGAGCGCTGAAAACAAGTTGAGCCACTCTCTGTAATGTACTATTCCAGCTCGGTGACTCAAACTGTTTCGTAATACCGGCAAAGCCCATAGCGGCGTCTTTTGGCCATTCGTACAGAAGTGGTAACTGGGCTTTTCGTTTCGTGTTCTTTTCGTTTGAGATCTTGAACTTTCTGTATACATTATGAAAACTGCACTGAGTAAAAAGGCTTAAAAAAGCTTTATGATACTTTTTACCATATTTTATTGTTAGAACATTTTGAATTCACGTACCTAAGTCGTAAGCAGCAATCGTAAGCTGTATGTCGAATTTGCCCTGCTCTTTCACAGTATTGTTGAGGGCCCCAACGTTGTGCACTTTCAGCTCTCCTAAACACAAAAACCAGGGTTAGTGTATTGTTTATAAGTCATATTTATAATGTTCCTTAAAAAGATAATATTTGATAGTGCAAATGAAAGGAAATTAAAATTCTTCTACCGAACGGATACTCATTTCCCTCGTCGTAAATGTCAATTGTGTGTCATGGCACTTCTGCAGAAGATGTAGGAAATTTAATTGAGATTAGACAAGACCGGTGTTCCTTTGAGTGAATCCCTAACGGAAATACCGAGTGAGATCCCCTCACGACAAACAACTGACCGCAGGACTACATCTGCTAAACCATCGTGTGGTCACCAGGAGACGCGGATTTCAGCTACAACAGATGATATTTACACTTATCATGTACGAGCCTAAATGTACTCCTTTAAACGTATTATTGGCTTAGACACCCGATTCATATTAATACTGTCTTTCCCGCAACTGATTTCTAAACAACAAACTCAGTGGCACTCATGGCATCATGTCTGCAGCTTCACCCCTTATGCAATAATTTTCAAATAGTTGCTATGACTCTACGTACGAGTATAAGAACGTACGGGTACGTTAAGGGTATACGTACGGATATAAGAACATGTAAATAGTGTATATTGTAATCATTGTCCATATTGCATAGAAGTCCATATTTGCATAGTACAGAGAGACATCAGAAATTAACGTAAAAATTATATTTCGTACAATGGAAAAAATATAACACCAAGTTAAATAAGGTATGTGGACCGTGTGGCCTAATGGATAAGGCGTCGGACTTCGGATCCGAAGATTGCAGGTTCGAGTCCTGTCACGGTCGAACTTAGTCGTCAATTTTGTATGAAATAGTTCGATGCTCCTATTTTTTAACAATTGGGGAACAGTTCCGAAAATATAAAGCGCGTTGTTTTCTCATATTAAATACATCGTGGATTGTTATTCGTCTCCCCAAGTTTTGTTTCGAAAAAACTGCGACTAAAACAAGGGAAATAATACTTCGTTGAACAGAGAAATTTTCCCACATTACTTTTTTATTACATATTTTTAGTAGGACGGCGGTTAATAATCAACCACGAAGAAAATAAATATATAAATATAAATATAAACATATGTAATACATAATAAATATATATTTCCCTCATACACTGAGTATGGATTCTTCCATATTTCTTTATGATTATAATTTAAGATAATCTATTTTAGAACATGGAAACAACAGGAAACGTTCATACATAAATAAGAAGCAGACCTATTTTGTCGAATTGCTGACATATGATCCGAAATCTATTTTTTTCGTAAAACAGTTTGCATGTACTTAAATTAAAATATTTTTTTAAAATCTCTTTACGCAAAATTTCATAATTTATAAATTTTAAAGGAATAACACAACTTATCAAGAAAAAAATAAATGAAATATAAATTTCAATTACTAATCAATTTAGTAAAAAGTAAAGATAAAATTTGCGTATTCTCCCAGAAATCCGAGTAACTCAAGTTCGAAGGCTGCTGTGCCAACGTTTCGGCCAATTTCGGTTTTTTCCGAGGGCTGTGCGCCAGTCTGGTGATAGCGTTGGGGTACTTACGACGCATTGCAACGCGTAGTTGTGCGTAGCACCGAAACTCAGTTCATAAACCCGAGCATTCTGGCGCACTGCAGCCCTGAGCAACATCATAAGATGGTCAAAAAGTCGGTGGCTCGCCACTACTTTCGTCGTGGCGTCACGCAGATATTAATTTGTAAATGTAAATCAAAATACAGATAGTAAATAGAGTTAGCTTAGTGTCTAGATTTAGATTTATTAATAATTCTGCAATTAAGTTTGAGAACTTGAAGGCAGAATAGACTAACTTAACATTAAACAACTTAACAACTTTACAAAATCTACAAACTTTACAAATTAACGTGAACATTTCACCGTGCAATCTTTCATAGCACTCCACTTCACATATGAGAACATTCGCGTGAGTCTGGGCATGAAAGCCTCCGAATTCCAAATGTAATATAGTTAATAAATAATCTGTTACTCACCTGTTATTTTGTCTATAACGAATACGTCCTTGAACGGCCCAGGATTTGCAATTCTGTATCGCACTTCTTTATTCGGTTTCTCCGCGTCTTTGTCATTAGCCTGAAAAAATGGTTCATGATACAACAAAGCACTGGTTCTTTTTTCCTTCTAAGTCTAATGTCTCACGCGTTTGTAAAATGTGCCGCCAAAAAAAGTTTTTAGCGTTCTAATGAATAAAGACAATGAAGTGCCACCAACAGTATATTTTGTGTTAAAGAAACGATTCTATTTTATCATTCCAACCTCCACAAAAAGGCAGAGTCCAACTGTATTCCCTTTCCTCCTTAGTACAAGTTTTTTTCTACGTTTGCCGTTCCTGTTTAGAATGACATTGATCGATTATAATTTATCTATTTTTGTCTGTTTCCAAAAAGATGCATGTCCTTGTAACACCTTTTAAGCACCGAAAAAAAAACTCTTAAAAGTTCGTAGAAACACAACTTAAAACCACTTACCACGAGCATTTTCTTACCTTGCCGACTTAACATACACAAATTCAAAAGAGTCTGCCATGTTCACTTGTATTCGAGGTTTTCTCTGCGCGTGAACACACAGGTGCCGTACTTATGAATTCAAACTCGACTGTTTGCACTGTTTCACTGCTTCTGAAAGAGCGGCTGAAGGAAACGGGATGCAGTTGGGCTATGCCTATCCAGTAACGAGGAGTGGAAGGGGATCATCTGGGAAGCAAGGGGGAAGGAAAACTGACCGCGGGATGCAGTCGGGCGATTCCCAATTAAAGTGGCATAACTGTCAAAAGTTACTAATTGTTTTTAAACTGATAAGTTATTTCTTGTTTTTGCCTTCGATACGGAGCTCGATGTGCACTGCATAACTTACTTGAATCGAAAGGATCGCGATTACGAGGGAAATATGAACACAGTTGAAAGATGCTACATGTTCTCTTACGGAGGAAATTATGGCATGGAAAAATTAAAGGACAAACCATGTGAAGCCAATATCACGTTCATTAGTACATGTAAATCTGAATTATCAAAATTAAGTAAAAAATTAAATATTGCTTGTACCGTGGGCTAGTTCTAGTTACATCACGAGCCACTAGTTCTAATGATACCGGGCGCAAAAAGTCCCCGGACCAAACGCCCTCGGGCTTTTTGTCGATGCTCGATCATTTGAACCCTTCTTTTTTCATAAAAATACAGCTATTGGGATGAATAAACGATCATTACAACCAAATTCAAGTTCTCTCGTTCATTTAGTGACTCATGCAGTTTGGGCAGGTGGTTATTTGCGGTAATCATATACTTTTCTAACAGAATCTTGTAAATTAAAAAACAAAGTTATCTGACCTTAAATTTTCACATAATTAATTATATGTTATTAATATTATTATTAATAATAGCTTTTAATAAATAGTAAAATATCAATCATGTGAACTTGCATGTTAATTTTAAAGAAGTCGGATATCCGCTTTAACAATAAAATGCATTTATTTCGATATAAAATGCATAATTTCTTAATATATCAAAGTGAGTTTTCCTCTGACGAATAAAGTAGGCATGTTTGGCTTGGCTTGAACACAAAATTTGTCACAATTTGTCGTTTCCAAGGATTAAAAAAACAGAAAGCAATATTTCATAACTATATCGATTTCAAAGAATCATACACCTTCACACATTAAAAGTATTCTCCCTGAAATTAATCATACTCTATCTTAATAAAAAAACATTTTTCAAACCTAGTAGTTGTCCAATGAAGATGTTCCCTCAATTTCTAATTTTCGACGCTTATTGTAACTGAGTTTGTAAATTTCAACTAAAGAATAGCACGAAGATGTGAATACCTTTTCCTCTTAGCCCAACCCTTCAGCTATTGTGCTTTCGGAAGCAACAGGTAGAGTCGGACAGGTAAAGGAAATGAATTCAGCTGTGAATTTCCATTCCACCAAAGAACGTTCTGCCTCTTGAAGCGCATTGATGCAGATGAATAAGCAAAGTGTCATTTCATGGATGCGTAAAATTTCGTAATTAAGATACAACACAGAAATCAACATGACACAAAAAAAATGTCAATTTGAGAATAAGTGAGAAATCAATTTGACGAGATCAAAAAGAAATTTACACAAGTCGATCGTGGGACGTGGGACTTCGAATCCGAAAATTGCAGGATCGAGTCCTGTCATGATGGAATACAATCTCTTGTCACTTTATTACGCCATATTTCAAAACTATTTATAGCCGAATACACTTCTCGCTCTTACACAATACTCCTGGTTGTCCCAACGTTTTTACTTTCTTGTATACTACATACCTAGAATAGTGAAAGTTAGGTAATGACGCAGCGAAAAACATTTATAAAGAAGCGAGAAATATTTATATAGAAGAACCCTGACACCGAAAAAGTGGATATTTCTTATTGCTATATGCATTAAATTACTTCTCTAAAACGCCTAATAGATAGAACTCACGTTCTCTGCGTCCTTGATACCGAAAAATTGGTTGACTGCAAAACGTCTGTCTCTCAGTTTGTCCACCTGTCTGAACAACGATAGCAGCTAAATCTTGAACAGGATTTTCACCGAAATTTATACTTCTAAATCACTCTGGCTGGTGTCGCGGCCCCGTGAATTTGAAATTGATTTTGGGGGTGATAAAGCCTCAAGAACATTTTCATTTTTCCTCAAAAATAGCCTTATATTGTTTATTAAACTTTGTGCTCGGATACCGCACAGTACGCTTAAACAAGTTGCGTAGGTCTCAGTTTCATAAAATATTCAAAAGATTTCTTATTAAGTTTATCGAAAACGAATTACTTTTCACTGAAAATAAGGTCAAAACTGCACATTTTCAGGAAAGCGTAAACGATATATTTTAAAGAACAGTTCCTAATATTTCAATGATTTTTTTTTACTTGTCTCCGATAGTCTTGAAATCGTGTTTCAATTCTTCAATAGAAGACTGAAAAATTAGGAAAATATGAAAACAAAATGGCGCTAATACGCAGAAGCTGGGAAGAAGATGGAGCAATACTGCTGAGCTTGCCGAGATTAAGGAGAGTACAAAATTAACCTGTTCGGAAAAGTATTTGCCATTCTGATTAACAATTAGTTCAATCTTCTTTTAAATTGATTCTCATGGCGGAAGGAAAGTGAAGAATGTTTCGGGGAAGAATATAATAAATAAACTTTCACAGTCCTATTGTTTAATAAACTTCGTTTATGTCGACTTTAACATGATAGCTTTTGTCAACTAGCCTCTTCCATTCTTATTCATTTTTATAGTTTTTCCGCTTGGGCAGCAGATCCCATTACTCAGCCGACGAGGGTGATACTCTCGTTCATTGACAAGTTCATCATTAGTATTCCATTCCTCCACTTATACTAAATTTGTTATATTAAACAAAAAACAAAAAACAAAAAGGAAATATAGCCAAGATGACCGTGTGGCCTAATGGATAAGGCGTCGGTCTTCGGATCCGAAGATTGCAGGTTCGAGTCCTGTCACGGTCGATACATTTTTTTAGCATATAATATTTTGAAAGATTAAATTGAGTGATTAAACAATAAGCATTTAGGTTTTCAAATTAAACTCATTTTACATTTCTAGTACAGTGCATTGCTGGAGAATGTTTCGTGTCATGGAGCTTGCTGCATTCGAAGTATTAATCTCCTTCTCATGCTAAGATTTCGTGGGAGAGGGCAAAACATTGTATGAATTATATTTATTGATAAAATTGACAAAATAGAAAAAAAATCTGAAAAAATAACGTATAGAGGTTTCTGTGAGAGTAAGAAATAATATTTATCTATTGCAGAAAGAATAAATTGCCATCAAGCAACTTGATAAACTTAATGTTCGTCATATTGTTCACCCGATATCTCTGATTCAGTAATGAAGTTACGAGAGCAGAGAGGTTCACTCTGTGTGACACCATTGGCGACATGAAGGAACATGAATTGTAAAAAATTTAAATAACAATATTTTCGTATAATATAAATGTTTATGCCGATCCGAAAGCCGAGGTCGCTAAGGTTGCATTGGCGGTCTCGAACCAATGAACGTTTACTCAATGGCTTAAGGCGTATGCCGGGATGGTCCCTAGTTTTCAACTATAAATGTCTTGTAAATGTACAGCTCGTCCTCCTTTTGATATGTTACTTCTCTGTGTACATGCATAGTCAAGGAGTTACACGGAAGAGCAGACCCTATGACCTGAGCCTCGCCATTAATAAAGATATTATTATTATTATTATTATTATTATTATTATTATTATTATTATTATTATTATTATTATTATTATTATTAATTATTATATTATTATTAATATTATTAATTATTATATTATTATTATTAATATTATTAATTATTATATTATTATATTATCATTATTATTAAATTTTTCAGAGAATGCATTGTTACTCAGTAACATGGTGACAATTTGGAGTTCTTTACGACTGCAAGACATATTTTCTGAGCGTAATTGGGTCCAACAAGGTGTCGGGAAGGAAAAAATATTGTTATTATTGCAAGTCACCTTGGCGATGGCGGGCACAAGGAAGCTGGCGCGGTCGGCGGCGAGGAAGAAGTTGTAGGTGATGCGCTCGAAGACGGGCGTGTGGTCGTTCACGTCCAGCACCGTCACCACCAGCGGCACCTTGGCGACCAGCGCCTGGGGCCCCTCGCCGCCGTCCATGTCACGCGCCTCCACGTAGAAGCTGAACTCTGCGCGCACACCAACACACGCGTGCAGATGCATCGCACGGACGCGACGAAAGTTGGTCGCTAAGGTCTCGTTCACAATGCAAACTTGGGCTACTGTCGTTGTGCATGCGAAATATCGGCCGGAAAGAGCTCTAAGAAAGGCAACGCGGCTTTAAAATTAGTCTTTTCAATACTTAACTCATAGCCGAGCCAAGTATCAGTCATGTAACCTTGGTCGTGCACTTTCCTTCAAGGATTTGACACTGCTTCAAGAAGAAAGTTAATATCCTACATAAACATATTAAGCAATAACAAAATATGTATGTAGCCCAGAACAAAATATTGCTTTACACATATTCGAACATGACGTCAATGCCAGTTCCAAAAGGTCTCAACATGAAACCAATATTGTAAGTTGTGCACTTGTTAAACTGTGGTGTTGGAGGCGACGAGGAAAGAATGTTTCCTGGTAACTTTAAATAAATCACTGATACAAGATTCTATTATTTCCTGCTCTGACAACTGATGTCACCCTAAGCAGTTGTTTGATTTCCTCATAAATTCTGGGAAACAAATTCTCTCGTATCCTCAAATGCACCGTCACAGCTATAAGTCGCAAGCTATACGAACGCGTCTGTAAAGATATGATGTATGAGATATGACGGAACAGTTTTGTTTAAAATTCCACCGAATTTTTATTGCTCTTATTACCGCAGTATGTTAAGAAAACATAAATATGAAATTTCTGCGAATTGTTTTGATCAATATATCTAATAGACAATTATAATTTATATGTGTACGGGTATCTAACTACGTTTACCAGTGCACGACGCAGTTACTCTTATCAGAACATTTTCGCCACTACTTTCATATTAAAAATAACTAACAGCAACTGCGTGAACAGGTAAATTTCAGGACGAAAAACAACAGAATACGTTATACAGCACTGTAATTCAGTGCAATATAATTATGGCAACATTCCAATTACTGAGTTTCCAAATTTCCTTTTATCTTAATAAATGAATAGCCTATCTGAAAAAATGTCACATGGACTTAAATCAAACATATGGTGCAAATGTGTGCATGGCAATTGGGAACAGAAATGGGAAGGATTCGGGAGCAAGCCTGACAGAAAACGACTTTGAACGAAACGAACACAAAAGGTAAACGATAAGAAATGAGATTAGGTATCTTAGTTGCGATGCGGTTTTCCTACCTTTCACTTTGCAAAATTGTAAAGATATTACTCACTGAAGAAGTTAAATCATTATCAAATTGAACAAATTATAAAGAACGCACCTGCGGTGTATAAGTTTTAGATAAGTCTGACAATAGAAACTAATCTCAATTAAATTTATTCATACACTTTGATTGTCTAAAATCAAACAAAGAAACCTAGAGCAGTGACGAAATAAGAGTTATTAGAACACAGAACATGACCCACTTAATCAACAATGATCAGATTCGAAATTTAAGTAATGTTAGAACTAAACCTTGGTCTTGTAGTTACTTTAAATATATCTGTCATATTTCGCTAAATGATTAGTCAAATATAAACACAAATTATAGTTCACTGGAATTTTTACAAAGTGGTTAATTATTATACGATATTCGCGTCATTATGTCTCATTACAATACTCGATTAGTTACAGTCTCGGTTGATAAATTCTTCAATCTCGAATTATAATAAGATATCTTACGATAATTATTTCGCTTTTTTATTTTTTATTTCTTTTACTTTTATATTTTTAAACTTAAAACAATACTTTTTTAACTAAAAAAAATCAATTTTTTTAAAATTTCCTTTTGTTTTGCAGGGTAGGTGCACGTTCTTTTTGCGTAGGGAAAATGGGCATTTCAACGACGACTTCATGTTTTCAAATGTCGCACCGCGCGTGCGCACTTACGCTGGGCGACCTCGCGGTCGAAGACGTGGCTGTTGGTGCGCAGGGAGACGACGCCGGTCATGTGGTCCAGCAGAAGCGTGTCGTTGCCTTTGCCCAGCACGCGCGTGTAGCGCACGCGCCCGAACAGGCCCGTGTCCGCGTCCGTGGCGTTCACCTGCGCACGCAGTTCCAAAGTCTAAAGTTAAAGGCTCAGAATGTCTTTCCTAAAAACAAACACTTTGAGCGAAACGAGCTATACAAACGTGTCCATTTATATACATATATATATATATATATATATATAAATGAGAGAGAGAGGAGAGAGAGAGAGAGAGAAAGAGAGAGAAAGGGAGAAAGAGAAAGAAAGAGAGAGAGAGAGAGAGAGAGAGAGTAAAAAGAGGAAGTAAGTGTGTAAAGAAACTAAGGCACGTCTGCATTTAATTATGGTTGTTGTTGGTTTCATGTTTTCTAGATCTGATTAATCTTAATACGTTAAAAACGAAATGTGTACAGTACATCACAGAATCATATTCTAGACGATAAAAATACTTAAATACTTTAGGGACAACATAAATGAACCAGAAGGACGTAAACACTACAGTTAATGCAAATGCGTGATAAATATATAAGTTGTATTATGAGAAACTGATTAGCAAGTTAGTTTCTCCCTGCAAAACAACAACAAATTATCAAGGTGAATGATTCTCAAACCGAACTCAATTGTCTCCATGTGTTACATTTTTCCTTTCCACTTCTCTATAAAAATAGTATATGTTAATTTGAACCTCAATGATTCATAACATTCAACAATACATTTTTCCTCCTCAAATTCTAGTAATCGAGATTCCGCTGAAAAAAGTGTTAGCCAACACATGTACATTTTTATGTATAATGGAAAGTTTACAATTTTTTTAGGCTACATACAATTATTTTAATTTTTAGTGATACGTTAGGGGTTATTATTGCCTTCCTAAAACACTGCATAACTTACCTGGCTCGAAAGGACAGTTATTACGAGAGTAACATGAAAAAAGTTGAATGATGCTACATTTCTCTTATGGAGGGAATTGTGAATGGGAATTACGGGAGAGAAATATGAAAACAGACAGAGTCAAGTTAACATCTAGTAAAGTAGTAAATAAGTATATCTAAATCAATAAAATTAGGTAAAAAAATAAGTTAATGGATGTACCACCGGCGTTAACTGTTTCTAATAATCTCGTGCAACAAAATACCCTCGTGCCAAAGGCCTACGGGCATTTTGTTGCCTCGCGATCACCAGAACCCTTATAACGCCTTTGGCGCATGCATTCGTAACTATTATATTTTATTGTGTAGGAAATATTTGTTTTAAACGCGTGTCTCGCCTACCTGGCAGAGCACGAAGCCCGCGGTGGCGTCCTCCATGACGGTGGCGGTGTAGCGCGCGCTGCTGAAGACGGGCGGGTTGTCGTTGACGTCGTCGATGTGCACGGTGACGCGCGCGGCGCTGGACAGCGCATCCGCTCGGCCCTGCGCCTGGCCGCCGCCCGCGCCCCCCGTGTCCAGCTCCCGCGCCACCACCTGCTCGCAGCAGCGCGCAAATGCACGGGCCACGTCCTCCAGGGCGCCAGACTCACCGCAGCACGGCCACCTACGCGCTAGAATATACTACATGGAGTAACTGATGCGCTCCCATCTTTGAAGCAAATTGAAGCCATTTTTTTTTAAGTCTAAGCAGCGCCCTCTGGGAGCAAATTATTCTAGCATTGCGTTTCGCAGTGGTTACGTACGGTTACACCCTGGTTACACCGTCTCTCGTATGTTTTGACTTCAAAAACCATAGGAGACCCTGCGCCAAGAGCGCTGAAACTATAGGGACAGCTACTGTGTGTAGTATATTCTAGCTCGATGGAAAAGCCAGATCAGACGCTGGCCGCCATGTTGCATGGTGAGCGAGAAGTGTTGAGATTAATTTTGAATGTGGTAGAAAGTAACAATTTTCAACGGTCACCAATCAAAAATAACACGACAAAGGTGTACAGGATGCAATGGCGAAAAGAAATGCTTCATAAATCTGTTTCAGTGTCTTGGAAGGAGGTAATAATTTTGGTATGTCTGCATTTAAAATTCCCGCTCATATTGTGACGCAAACTGGTGTCTGAAGCTCATTCGCTGAAGTTGGATACGAAGCGCCCTGACTTAGCCGTGACACATCACACAGCGACCTCACCCCCAGCGGCTCCCGTCCAACCCGTTCAAGCGAAGTGTGCATAGGGCGGAAGAAAGACCAGCGCGGCGCATCTGAGAACTAAAAACGGTGACAGTTGCGACGCGCGTTTGCACCGGGGCGGTAAGGACTGGTGCATTCTGGTTTCAAGGTGATAAAACATTTACGGTTATCATAGTGCATGCTGCTAACTAATCAGCTCGATTAGTTTTTCTTCAGATAATTTTTCATAGAAACATTAGGTTAATCACACAGAAAGCACTTAATCATTTGATCGCTCTAAACGATTTGAAACATATACGTTACGTTGTATTTTATGGGGATCTGGAATTTAAAAAATAAATTCCACAATGTTTTTCATCAAAACGAATAATCTCATGTACTCGTTTTCGAATTCATTGTGGAGCATGATTGGAATATGTGGTTACTTTCAGAAACTCAAAATTCTTCCATTTGTCATATCGTTATCAATATTTATTAATATATTTACTGTTATTATTATACGTGTATTGTTGAACATAAGATGGCATTACAAGAGGACCATATATACGTGGTCTTGGTTTAGACCAGTGCTCGAGTTTTCAGTTGCACTGAGTATACAAAGAGCTCTGTCTCCTTCTCATCAAAGCCAAACAAAGCGCAGTGCTGCCCTCGCCGCCAGCCCTACACTCCGCTTGGTCGAGTTATACACGATTAACTTGCCTTAATAACATACTTCAAAATAATATCTTCAATTAAGGTCCAAATAAAACTAGATGTAGTTGGCATTTCGTGGTCACGTGATGACGCCAGCGTCGTAACCTAGGGAACCACGACTCAGAAGCTTTTTGGCATTGGCTCATTGTTGTCATGTAAAATGAGGAAACAAATGTTACGAGCAAACAAATGTTAAGCAAATAAATAGGACAAATGTTACTAACAAATTTCTTACGAGTTTCTCATCATTCCTTTCTTCTGTTCGCCTGGTAAGTGTTAAGAGCACGTGGTGGAACGTGTGGGATGAACCAAAGCCGCCCCCCTCCACACCCAAATGTACACTACAATATTTTATTCGTAATATAACGTACGTTTTTCAAACGTTTTATATTTAAAGGTAGAATAACTTATATTCAAATTATTTCTAGTGGTACAAGTAGTGGAAATAGTAGCGTGATTTACACCAATATGGTTTAGATTCTTTATTTTAAAATTATTTTAAAATAAAAATACACAGTGATAGTAATATTATAATATACATAGATTTTCTAAAATATAAAAACGTAATTTTTTCTTTCATTATTTCAAATACCTCCTTAGGGGTTTTCTAAGGTCTTTATTTTGGGAAGAATATGTCAATTTTTCTCCATTATCCGTTTTTTTGTCAACAGCAAAAAATACTCTCTCGCTTCGAAAACGTCTTCAATTTGATATTCTGTTCTAATAGCCATACTAGCAACTAATGTTGGTAACGTGTTACGGCATGTTGAAATAGCGTCACAAAATCCATTTAAATAAACTCCTTGTAATTGCTATTAAAGAGTGTTGAGAACAATTATTTATTAATTGAAAAAACATGCCGCACAAGGTAAAATGTGGCAACGCTGTCCCTATCAAACGTGCTGAGAAGAACAAGCTAATTAGGTATGAAGTATAGGAGCGCTCTTGCACGATTCAAATGTATATTTGAAGGACAAACTTTGTGCGACAGTATACGGCTTGATAATAGATTGGGGCACTTAAAGGTTTAAAACAATTTGTATATCACATACACCATGGTATTATGGAGCTCAACTTCCAATGAAGTTCATTTAATTTACTAAGATCTTAGATTCTCTGAAGTGGTTGGGATAGTCCAAAACAAAAAGTATCTTATTTTAAAATATGACACTTGAAGCAGGAAATTTCTTAAACAGCGACCGTGTGGCCTAATGGATAAGGCGTCGGACTTCGGATCCGAAGATTGCAGGTTCGAGTCCTGTCACGGTCGAATACTTTTCGCTACATTCGGTTTGTAGTCTAGCAAAATGACAGATTGATTGATAGGTTTGTAATTTGATGGTGATGTTGGAATGTACACAGTCCAGCATTTCACTGCCCCTTCGTGCAGAAAACGTACTACGCCTCAATGCTGCAAAAGTATTGCATTACACACAGCAATGGGGAAGCGAACATTTTTGTTATTACTCGCGCAACTTTCTTGAACGATGACCTTGCTTCCCCTCTCTGGCCCAAGCAGTTGAAGGCAAGAGCTCGCTGCGAGCACTGATGACATTCCGAACACATCTTCGCTGGCGCGAAATAGAAACAATTTTCTTTTGAAGACGAGATCTCCCATCTGCTATCCCCCCCCCCCCAAATCTAAAGAAATGACCGAAGCAGGTAAAGATCTATCAATGGAGATACCTCGAACTCCTGAGAAAGTGAGAATGCAAAATTATTGAGAAAGTTGAGAAGGCATGACTGAATTGGCATTGTTTCATACAATCTAGTGGCCGATTTCGTAACTAATACCCTTCCCACTCTACCCGCAATTCTTCAATCCATTGTTAAGAAAAATTGCGCGAGTAATAGAAGGTTCTTATTCGGGAGGGGGGAGAATCATAGTGATGACTTCGTTCTGGAGCGGCAGAGGGCGGGAACCCTATGGAATCTTTATCTTCGTGCATGTCAATTCTGAACGAAAGTAATATCTCACGCTTTGTGTATTGGCCTTTTCCTTTCTAAAATTACTTGATGGAAGCGGAGTAATACAACAGCTGTTGTCACATGTACTGAAAAAAATGTGTGTTTAGGCTGCGATATTTTAACTTATTGAAGCTAGAACGCTAGAGTAAAGAAAGAAATTCTCTGACGAGGGTGGAAATCGATCGTCGCATTACATCTCCGCTCGCCCGAAACAGGAACGTAACATACTTCCCGTCACCATTTACAGAATGAAGGGGACAATTGAACATGACCGTGTGGCCTAACGGATAAGGCGTCGGACTTCGGATCCGAAGATTGCAGGTTCGAATCCTGTCACGGTCGGTTCATTTTCATTATTATTTCTTGTGAGACGAATGCGTTATTTCAATAACATTTAATTGCCCAAGTTTCTCAAGAGACTGTATTTGAACCCGTGATTCACTAATTAAGAGTATGTGAACTCTTGTGTCTCCATGTTTTTTTTAGCATTACATGTATCGAAGACTCAATCCCAAAGAACTCCAGACTTTATTGTGACAACTTGTTATTAAAATTTTAAAACATTGTACTATAAAAAATTGAGACTTGTTTTAAAGAAAGTTTAATTTTTCATACATGTAATAGGTGCTAATTATTTCTAAGTGTAATTCATTAAATATCTCATTCATACACCGAACGTCACGATTACATTTCGATAATTCTGAAAAGTTGCACCTTTATTTTACATTTCATTAAGTGTCGTGGACTTATAAATTCAATGAATACAGGCAGGGCCGGATTTGGATACTGCGGGCCCTCAAGAATAAAGTGGAGTTGTTGCTCCTCTCCAGAATAACCCCTCACCCCCTAATTCACTAAAAACACTAATTATTATAACGTTTTGTACAAATTCAAATTAAGATTTACAAATTCCTTATAGAATGGAACGTACATTATACTTTTTATTTTAAAAAAATATTTTATAGATAAATCAAATTTATTTATTATCTAATATTTGCAGATAAATCAATTTATTATAATTTTTTCTAATATATTATGACTTGGAAGGGGGCACCGTGAAGGTGGATTTCTAAACAACTACTTACTCCGCTTGTAGTAACTGACGTGTTGGCTGGAAGAGGGACTAATTCGAATTGTGGCGTTTACCCATAAAACACTTCTAGACTTCGTTGAAGACTTTCTACAATACTTCCAAGTAGTACTGCGATAACCTGAATTGATGGCTTTTGTATAACTCAACTGCGTTCTTCTTCCATAACATCGGTGTTTAAAACATTTTACATACGTAAACAGGATGTAAACAGAAATGATGCGAGTTTGATATTTGCTAGAAACATCAGGTACAAATTCAAATTGATAACATATTTTTGGAATAAAACATTCCTAATATCATCAGAATTTTGGGTTATATGGGTTTCACTAGAAAAGAATGGAAGAAATACACACAGTATATTGATGCATTAACAATTTGGAAAGTAGTGTATCAGACCCTCACCATTTGGTGTAATAGATGGGACAAGAATAATAAGAGTTGGTTCACATCTAAACGCATCCACACATGCAAATCAAAAAGCAATGGATGTGAGGTTTACAAAATAACGTTTTCTCACAAGACGGTTGGTACCATTTCTGCTTTAGAGGCTTATAGTAACATATTAAGTCGTCGCTTTACCTTGTAGTTAAATAAGAGTGCTTGGAATAAAGTACTGTATCTTATGGCAGTGGCCAAGGTGGGCATTAAGAAGAAAATAGAAAGATACCAATTACTTACTCAAATATTACAAGAAAGTGATAAAAAGTGGTACACGAACAAATTTACAGTCATTGAACGAATTGTTGAACGAAATCAGATGAGTGGTAAATGAGTATTACGTAAACGGTAATTAATGCAAATATTCTTTTGTATTTTGCCAACTAATAAATATTTTCTTACTTTAAATCAAGGACATACATTTATTTATTTCAAAAGTAGCTCGTTCCATTGGTGTAAAGTACTCTTTAAGGAAGACACGGCATCACAATAAAGCTAGTTCTGAAGATATGACACAGCTCAGGGTTTGTCTTTTATATAAAATTCAGTTATTTCCTAAAATATTTTTTAAAAGTTTAAAATGTTTTTGTTTGTTGACATGTTGGTTTAATAGGTACCTTCTATAATATTATATAATAGCTGAGAAGTGGAGTGTACCTGGAAGGTGATGTGCTCGCGCTGCTCGTAGTCCAGCAGGGAGCTGTCGCGCACGGCGATGATGAAGTTGGTGCGGCCCTCGCCCACCGCCGGTGTCACCTCGAAGGTGCCGTTGCTGTCCGTCAGCTCGATGGAGAACAGGCCCTGCTTGCCCTGCGTCATCGCGTCATCGAGCGGTTCTCAGGAGCGGAATAACGGCGTGCGGAATGCGGAAAATGGAAAATGGCAAATGGCAAATGGCGGAGCAGGTTCATGGTCGCGGCCCACTGAAGTCTTGCCCCGGAAATGCTCAAGGCCTTCCATGCAAAGTTATGAAGAATGTGTACATCCACTTTCCACAGCCGTTTCAGAAGTAATTAACATTATCATTTACTTGGGTTTTTGAAGGTCATCCCTTTATGATTTATAACAAAATTTTATTTAGTGCTACACTGTAATTAATTTGGATAATTTGTTTTCTCTGTTCTGAGAACTATCGATTAGAATATTTAAGAATTTGTTATCTATGTAAATAGCAATCTTACCGCACAGTGGCAAAAAATTACTGCTGATAGAACCAATTTAAAATTAGGTAGAACAAAGATGAGATTTGTCAGAAGAGTGTCAAACATATACAAATCTTAATTTTTGCCCGGGAAGTAAATAACGTTGTTTAATATCACAAGAAATTTGCGATGCTTATGCAGATTTTATAGTCAAGAAATTGAATTCAAGTGTAGTTATGCGCCATACGAACATTAACTGACCCCTAGAGACGCTAACTAGAAGAACCAAATGAATTAAAAGGTCAAGAATAAATTGTTTCTAAGAAAAAATAAAAGATTCTGACCATTTGGTTTAAGACATGTCGCCTAATAAATTCTTAGTTTGTAAAAAAATCAAATTGTTGCAATATGAACAACTCAAATTCAAATGTAAATTCTTGTCAATAACAATTATTAATGTATAATAATAATTATTCAAAAGTATTATTGTAGTATTGTCATTGTTGAATTTATCGCATATTAAGCCAAGTAACACAGGCATGTGTTAATTATCTATAACACCAATAAGAATTAACTATTAAGGAGGTGTCTAAAGATAAATGTTATAATCTTCTAGGGTATTTAGACGGTTTGAAAACGATTACTTTTTGCCAATGAACATGTAAAGGGAAATTTCATATAACGGCATTAAACTTGTAACAATCCGCCTCGGTGGGTGAGGGGTTAGCGTACTGGCCTCTGACTCCCCGGTGCGCGGCTGCGATCCGGGCCGAGGCGCGTGGATTTTTCGAAGGGCGGAAAATCTATAGTAGCCATGTCACACCTGCGGCATGTGAAACAACCCTGGCAGATGCTCGACAAAAAATTAAATTCCTCCGACAATGCCCCGCCCGCTCTAACGAGATCACACTTTCGAACAGATGGGTCGGATATAATTTAACTGAGACCGACATCTGGCGGAGAAAGTGAGAGTCCCACCCCAGGCGTATCAGGAGACCGCCCGCGAGGCGTGCCTACTCGATAGGCGTGCCTACTAGGTACCCAGACCCGCGTGGGAGGAAGGCTTCCAAGGAAGTATTCCGTCTCGCCGCAAGCAATCCTATACGCAAACAAGTGACATTCCCATGGGTTTTAGACTTCTTACGCACAGTTTTTCGGCAGGTCAACTTCTGACGCGGTCGTGGAGATTTCTTGTAGCTGCTGAACATCTTTCCACACGGAGAAGTCTATCAATCAATTTCCTACTGTAAGTTCAATGGCAAAATATTTTCATTTACGATTCCTGGACACTCCTTAGAAGTTTGTTACATTAATTAATATATACCTAACTCGTCTAACGATTATCATATGAAATTTGGCACAGTGTATGAAACTTACAATGTTGTCATCGTGGATAACCGCTTCGTAGGGAGGCTGGAAGTTGAGGGCCGTTCCCATTGGGCTGTTCTCAGAGATGTGCACATCGTAACTGAACAAAATAAGAATTACGTTAAATAATATTTTATCTTCAATGCCATTCAATGTTGTGTTCACCAAAGATCGTACTACGAGATTTATTTGCTAAAACTATTTAATATTGGGTTTACTTTTAGGTTTTACTGTAAGATTTACTGGTGTTCCCTGGTTAAAAATATATGATGTAGGACCATCATTATTATTGATATAAAAATGAAACTCTTCCACCCACAATGCAACTATCTTCAGTGGACACAACAAATAATAATTATTATAATACGAATCATTATTCATGATCCGAATTCTAGGTGCGGCATTTGCCTGGAAATAATCGAGGAAACCTCGGAAACTATCAAAGCAGTCGACCAACAAATAAGTTATCTGCAGACGCCACAAACTCACATATTGTAAACATATCGAGTAAATATCTGGCACCATGAATTATTAAAGGATATAAATCCGGTCCTTGGTGTCAGTTTTGAAATGGCGAAACGTAAAATGTTATTATATACCCACGTGAACTGTAGTTTGTGAAGTGTAAAAAGAGTTTTTGTACAATACTGCGTACTTCAAAGAAATAGTTACGATTACAAGTTCGCACTAGTTCGAGTAAACATATTCATATTTATAGATTAGTACCACCAACATGATGTTGAAAAATGGGAACATTGAGATTGCAGCATACACTGGTGCCACAGTTGGAAACAAATTCCATTTATCGTGATCAAGTTACTGGTTTAGTATGCGACACAAGTCACGCGATTTCACTCGCCAATTCTGGAGGAATAGCATTTTTCGCTATCACTTTTGGGTAACATTGGAATTTCGCATGCTCGAAAGTGGGTTAATAGTGTTCACACTATGGTGAGTCACTACTGCAAAATATGTTATAATAATAGAAAGTGTTTTATGCGTAAGGGAACCTCCTTGAACTCCATTTATGGTGTACTTAACGATCCGTACAAGTAACATTTGTTAGAAGCAATGCTCAGATGAGTATTTGTAGTTGCGACATTGCGTTATGCATTATAAGAAAAGAAACATTTCAAGTGATGAACAAAGAAGTTAAGTAATTTATCAAAGAATGAAGACAAGTGGTGAGATATATGAACCTTGATATGGATGAAGAGTAACCAAAGTTTTCGCATCTTGCAAGAAGTTTTGGATTTTCTCGTCCTGGGCGATGACTATGCAGCGTGAGATTTTGATTCAGATTTTCTTGACAATATGGGGAGTGATAGCTTTTGTTTTGATCGCAAAACATAACCTAACAGGAAGATATGATTTCAAATTCATTTCCGCGATTTTTTTTACATAACACCTTTGCACCAGTTTCCATGGATGTTAGTTGGAATTAACTGAAAAACGTAAATCAGTTTATCATAATTAGAAATACTCAACTGTTCATAGGCGGGCCATTTTGCCTTTTGCAAGGTAACTAGAGTGCACTATCTATGAAGAGGTATGATTGTTCCTTAGGCCTAAGGTAGACGTCACATATTGAAAGGTCCGTCACATAACCGTTCGTGCATAACGACGCTACCTTCGACTTGGCGCTAAAACTGCCTAATGAGAACAGTACCGGCAGCATATAACCAATTTTGACAGTTCAATGCGCCGTTGCCACACATTACTGCGCACGTAGCACCACCTACTTCACAGACACATTGAATCTCAAAACATTCACACTTACTGACAGGCTATGACACGTCTTGATATCATGTTCATAAATTTCGCCAAAGCCGAACCTTATCGACCCCGCGTGAGTTAGATGAGCGGTAACCCTGGCTGTGAGAAAGTCAACAAATCCTCGCAAGGTGACTGCTTCTGAGCAGGCCACACGGCGTGGCGAGAGCGCTGAGCGCGTGAAGTGACTCACTCGGAGGAGGCGAAATAGGGCGGGTGGTTGGCGCGGTCGTCGAGCAGCAGCGCCACGACGGCCTCGGAGGAGGCGGCGGGCGCCTCGGCGCCGGACGGCGACGGCGACGGTCGCACCTCCTCGGCCAGCAGCGTCAGCAGCAGCGGCGCGCACGGCCGCGTCACCTCCAACAGCTCTTCCATGGGCCGCGCCAGCGACACCTCCCCTGCGCACCCAACGCCCGCTCGCTCGCACTCACGCTCACGCTCACGATCACGCTCGCAAACGCGCTCGCGCTCACTCATACTCACGCTCCCACTAACGCTCACGCTATGCACGTTTGCCTTTGGAGCAAGCGCTTCAAACGGCATTGCACTGCAAACATTCGCTCACATTAAATTGCACCAAATCATGATTATATCAACTTCTGTTAAAATTTCACAAAAACCTTTGATGCATTTTGTGGTTTTCATAAATTAAATACCTCTTTATATTTAAAACACCAAGAATTTCCAGCTAATATCCCTTATCGTAAATAACGAGGCAGAATCGGCATTCTTCCAGGAGAACATCGCGAAAGACATCTCCACCGCGCCGCGGTAGCGCGAGAGGAATGTCATTTTTATAACCTCAATCTAAAAAGACGGAGTGGCACTTCGCGTCGCGTGTCTAACGACACCACGAGGCTGGGGTGTCGGCCAGGACGATTACCATGAAACGTCCTTGAGTCTGTCCAACCCACAATATCCAACGTATTTTATGCTAAAGTACTTTTTTGCCGATCTAACTTTACATTTTGGCGCTTTGCTAAGCATGTCGAAGATGGATGACGAGGTGGCTTATGCGAATAATATAAAACATCCTTGAGCCTGTGCAATGCATAATTTCCGATGGTCACCCCCCTTCCGTCACTCTTTCTTCGCTTACGTTTACACATCTCGCGATGTCGGAGTCGACTCATTACCATAAAGAATGAGATTAGATTAGAAAGTAGTGTGTGCTCTGTATTCAAATTTCTTGATTTTTCCTCTAAATGAAAGATAATGGTTTCTAAGTTTGTAATCACTTGCTCTTAGTAACTCGGTTTATAGTGTAAATACTAAATATTAATAATATCTAAAAATAAATATAATTATCTGCCTTCGTTTTGGTGCCCGAGTTACAATCTTTCAAAAGTAGTTATTTCGTCGTCTGGCATCGCAAATATATTGTTGTGGTATTATAGCGAAGTGAAAATAGCTAGTTTTTTTAAGTGTTAAAGTCACTGATAACACGTGAAATATTCACATCCACATACGTTCACTACACGCATTATATTGTCTCCAATTCTATTTTATTATGATTAATTCTACTCATTTTTTACCAATTTATTTCTCTTCATTTTATACACTCAAAAGAGATGTCGTGATAGATGATTGCACTAACATTTGTTCACATGCACCAATTCTACGATAAAAGTGCCGATGCTCCATATAGCATCATTTCCCCCAAAACGGGACATTGACATACGCCAGTTCAGAGAGGAGGTGCAATGTTAAAATGTGTGGAGTCAAAAGGCTCCTTCACACTTCACACACAGCGCCACTAAGCAACGCTTCTGAGAGGAGTTTCTTCTAGCAAAGCATTGGTTTAAATGAAGGAGCAGCGCAGAAGCAAGCTCGCACCACCGTTAGCAGAACACAGATCTGAATGGCAGCGTTCACACGAGACGCGCCACAGACTCACTACTGAAGCGATATTTTCCTGCTGTCTGCCTGTCTCTGCCGCCATCGGTCTTTGGGAACTTTGTCGGCCGCCCGAGCCCACAGCGGTGTGAGTCAGGAAAACTTCCCCTCTCACGGCCGGAGGCGGCCGCCGGCGACTGTGTGGGAAAGACTGCCGCTTCTAGGTGGCGCCACCGAGTGGCTCCATGTGAAGGCTCCCCAGGTAAATGGCAGTTTCCACACTAGATGCATCACTGAATCGGTTTTTGCCAGCTGCCTTCGTTTCGGTCGCCTGAGCCCAGAGCGGTGCGATTCATGAAACCGTGTCGGAAGGGCTCTGCCGCTTCAAGGCGGCACCACCAAGTAGCTCCGTGCGAAGGCAACCTAACTCACGTTCTGTGTAGAAGGCTGTGACTGCAGCCGACATCATCAGAGTCAGTACAACTAACCATTACTACTTTTTGAAAACACGTTAATTTATTCTTAAGTATGATTTACATTACTTTAATTTCGTAGTTAAGTATCCAAATATTTTTCGACCCTAGATCTTTAGAATATCTCAAAACAATGAAGTTTCTGTTTTACTTGCATATACACTGGCGGCGTTTACAGGAGTTAAGAAGCTGTTGGTAGCGTTGCCCTCAGTGGCGCCAAACTTAAAAATGCCCAAAATTCAGGCCAGGACCGGAGTGAGCTAAGGATTGGAAGTCCTTGGATTGTACTGGAAAGTCTGTAACTTCCTATCATCCCAATCTGCATTAACATTTCAATTTCCAAATAATTGATAACGACGATAGGAAATTCTTTTGTAAGAAAGAAAGGATATCTTATTCAGAATTTGTGTAGATTTCGTATTTTGAACACATCCGTAATTTAATTTTAATAAAGAGTTTTTTGGAATATTAAATATATGAATACATAATATATGTGAAAAATCACTTTGCGCACATTCATGTTAACTTACTCATTATGCACAACCATTTTTGTTTCGATACGTGAAGTTTTTGAACTCACATTCAAGTTTCCTCTTAAAACATTCAATGTCCGGGTATGAGCCATACCAGCCGTGAGGAAGACCACGACATAATGGTCGAAACGTCGGCAACTCAGCCTTCGACGCGGCGTCACCCGGACAGCCCAGACCACACACAAAAAAGTCATTAGTCTTTTTTGGGATTACCAAAGATTTTACATGTCAATTTGCATTATTGTTCACCGCGGTTACTGCGGTCTTGCGATTGAAGTTATTCCATTTCGCTTTCCCCTGGTTCTCTTATCAACGTGATGTGCACTGGTGATGGGCACTTGCGACAGCGGAATAGGGTCTAATGCTTCTGCAAATACATTAGGTCGATATCCTACGCTTGGCCAACAAGGCTTTTCATTTCTAGTGAAGGCGCGAAGAAAGAAAATGAGACCGCACTCGCAACTACAAGTGGTTGTCGTCTGTCAGATGGATTGATTGGTTAGTCCTAGGAATGGAACATTTCTGAACGGCCTTCTCGCATTCCCTAAAATAAGAATACCTACTAGCAATGCCTATCGCATATGAAATACCACACCAATATAAAGCTTAAGTGATTAAGAAACAGAGACATGGCAATTATGGTTTTATAACAGTTATGATCGAAATGCGTCGTGGTCGTTGTTTGATAATATTTCTTTCTTTCTTTGATCATATGTCATTTGATTGAAACGCTCATAAGCCATTTGGTTGAAATTATTTTTCAATCAAACTTCAGGATTTCCATGAAAGTGAATACCAGTTTCCATTTGAATGACTTATTCCAAACAATCATAAGTCCAAACATAAAGTTTTCAGATAGAAGATAAATCCTAATGAAATAATGTCAGAAACGTTTTGTTAATTTTTTTCTTATAGAATTTCTATTGCGAGCACCTTCCAAAATCGATTGACACTTGGTAGATCTGCCTCAAACGACATCCAGGAATGTAGCATTAGAAGTGCACATAGCTGACTTACGTTGTGTCTGAAATAGTGCATTAATTTAGCGCTTGCCTTGGCAGAGGGCCCGATGCGAGTCAACCGCCGCTCCGTGCAGCGCAGCGCCCTCCATCGGAGGTGCAGCGGGCGGCGCGGCGCGCGGGCCATCTGCCACGCCCCCGCGGTCGAACGCAACTCCCTCGCGATAGCATCTCGGCGGGGTCGTTAGGCGGCGGGGAGCAGGCGGGGCGCAGGCGGGGCGGCGCCCGGCCGCTGCCCGCAGGCGGGGTTGTCGACCACTGAAGCCGCGCCTCCCCAAACGCCTAGCTGCGTCTCACCAAATGCCCGACATGTCCTAGACTCTCCTATGCTTTATAATGATTCAAAATTCGGTCAGGAGCAAGAGCTCTGCCTTTAAGAACTGCATTGCCACTAATAGCCTTCACATAGAAATGTTCTCATATATTATACGTAATGTATTGGATTGAGTATCTATTGATTATAGACAGTTAATTTCAAATTAATGTTTTGTTGCTTGGCAATTCACTGTCTGTAACACATTGACTTGAAATAAAAAAGGAGTGCGGTGTATAAACGGTTGTTAGGGCAATCAAAAATGAGCTAGGTTGAATATTATGAAGCAGAAAATGCAAAAATATTTTCACATATTAAAGTTGACTACGTAGAGCTGTCCACAGCAGTTGCGATGAAGCAGAAAATAAAGAAGCTGGAGGATTTTTTGTATTTTATACAACCTACATCAGACTCAGTTTTTTGACCTGGTTCCATCATTAAAATATAATTCAACGTTACGTTCAACGCCACATTCAAAGCTTTGATAGCCTGAGTTAGTCCTGAACATCATATGTTTTATTCGTATCCATTCTTCTCTTCCCATTGCACTCTCTCAAACACTGCCTTTCCTTTCTTCTTTCCTCCCTGCCCCTCCGAACTTGTACATTCTCACACCATTCTGGTCGCTTTGTCACCAACCCGCCCCTCAAACGGAGTAATGCACTCTTCTCTCTTCTAAAGATCACAAGTCCAATGACGCTTAATAGCTGTTAAATTTATCAACAAAGATTGAAGGTTATAAGGAAAATTTAAAACTCTTCAAACAAAGAAAAGTAAATTGCAGGCAACCAAATTGCATTGATGCACTCACTAATGACCAATCAGATACGCATAATCAAAGGGATCAGACATGAAATAGCATCTATTTGCGTTCTCACTGAACGTGTTATCTAAAATTACTGACAGAACACTACTGTACGCAAAATGTAGAGTGATATTAAAATAAAAGGGTATATAAGGTACAAGGGAACACACACCAACAAATGGTTTCCTACTGCATACAATCAAGACATGGCATGATAATGCAGGATAAGTAAAAAAAATACATCTACTCACATGAAACACGTGCATGCTTCTTAGAATAGGCACGGCCTTCCACGGTTCTTTGCGGTCGCTGAAGCCAAACCGATCACAATACCTACGAGTGACCTCATTCAAATGCGACGTTTTGACCTTCACGATGGCATAAAAGCAGCACAGCGCACGTTTCACTTATCGCTAAAGAGGTACAGAAAGGCAGCAACGACGGCGCTTCTGGAGATGGGGGCGGTTTTTGTGGGCGCAGGGTTGACACAAAAGGAAG